TATTTATTTATTTTGTTTTAATTTAATATAGTCCGCTGTATTGACGCAATTGTGGTCAGAACGATGGGGATTTTTTCGATATTGTTTGAGAATGATGGGTGAAGTGTGAAGGCGCAAGGAAACTTTTGACGGGAGGGGGAAGAGTGCGAAGTAATGTATGTATTTGCAATTCGAAATTAAACAGGTGCGATCACACCGGCCGTAGAGCGGAAGACGCGCCAAGTGGTAGAGATGCTGACGCAGGAGGCCACGCAGGGGGGAACCACGTAGGCGATCCATGTGCGCGCGATCGAATGGCTAAGATCCGTTTCCGCGCGCACGGACGGTCCAGATTGAATCGCGCACGGACAACCCAGATTCACTCCCTATTTAATCGTAATCGGACGGTTCAGATCAAAAGCAATGGATGACCCAGATCAAAAGCGAAAGGGTATAAATAATCTCATCCACACCCAAACCCTAACCCTAGCCGCCAGAGCCCCTCGCCGGAGAAGACAGCCCAGCCGCCGGGGAGCCGACCGCCGCAACCCCCCGCCGCAACGGAGCAATTTCCGACCGCCAAACGAGGTAAAATTTCCTCTCTTACACGAAATTCAATTTCAAACCCACCCATAGACAAATCAGAGTGAAAGAATCGACCAATTGGGCGAAAAACGCCGCTGAAGCTCTGCGGCCCCGCCGCGGGGTATTTCAAAAAATGCCTCCGATGAGGCCCTTCCCGATTCCCGTTCGATGTGATTTTTCCATCGTTGTGATCACCGTTTCCTTTTCTACAGGTTAACCAGAGCAAAACACCGAACCGCAACGTGAGCCAGAGGAGCCGCCGCACCGGAGAGCCTCACCGCCGGTGAGTTTCGGTTTTCTACGTTTTTTGGTCCACCGAGGGCCCTAAGTGTGCTTTCTCGCATGAACCGATGCAAATTTGGCTGAATTCGACTGAAAACGGTCGAAAACAGCCAATCTGAGGTGGATCACCGCCGCGGACGGCGGTGCCGTCGCTGGAGCACGGCGGAGCCGCCGTGCCAGATTTTCTAAATTGGCCGAGTAAGCCCTGGAACTGATTTTTGGATTTATTTAGGACATTTGTAAGTACCATAAGTGCATTTCAGTTCCCGAAGAAAAACTCAAGGAACCTAGGGACCGCTTGTAGGCACAGTAACCACTTAGTTTTCGATGTCGAATCAAGTAAGGACCCCTCACCCTATTTCCTATTATAGAATTGAAGTTCAAATAAATAATAATACGTTCTTTTGTACAAATTAAATGGAAGTGCTTGATTAATTACATATTGCTAATGGAGCCCAAATCGGACATTATTTTCTATCGATTTCTGTTGATTTATTTTACAGTCTAAAAGCATGATGGTATCTGGATTATATATTGTATGGTTTAAATGCATGTATTACTGCCTTACTTGACCACTGTTTGATTTTGGAAATCTAAGATATGATTGTATTGTCAGATGCATGTTTACTTGTTTATGTATTTATGTTTGATTTGGTAATGGAGAC